TTTATTTCCACCTTTCAGAGTGAATAGCTCCTATTTCTTTCCAGTTTCTTCTTGTCTTAGCTGGAATACCCAGCGCTCTTTTGAATTAGAATGGTGAGAGAAGTGAGCTGTCCTTAATCCTGATGCTAAGGAGATGGCAGTTAGTCTTTTACCACTAAGTATAGAGTTAACTAGAGGTTTTTTACCGTTACTCTTCATTAGTTGAAAAGTTATTCTCTATTCTTAATATTTCTGAGAGGTTTATGATGTCTGAATTTTTAATATATTTATTTGAAATGGAGAGGTACATAGAGAAGAAGAAGAAGAAGAAGAAGAAGAAGAGAGAGAGAGAGAGAGAGAGAGATGAATCTTCCATCTGCTGATTCACTTCCCAGATGGCCACAGCAGCAGAGTCTGGGCCAGACTGAAGGCAGGAGCCTGGAGCTTCCTCTGGTCTCCCACTTGGGTGGCAGCAGCCCAAGCACTTGGGCCATCCTCTGCTGTCTGCTCACGCGCATTTATAGGGAGCTGAATTGAAAGTGGAGCAATCAGGACTTGAACTGGCACCCATATGGAAGGCCAGGACTGCAGCCAGTGTCTTAAACCCATTACATCACAATGCTGGCCCCTCATGTCTGAATTTTTAAAAAGGAATTTTCTGCATAAATCAACATGTTTGGGTATTTTTTAAAAAATATTTATTTATATATTTGAAAGGCTGAATTATAGAGGGAGAGAAGGAGAGACAGAGAGATCTCCCATCCACTGATTCCCTCCAAAATGGCTACAATGGCCAGAGCTGGGGTGATCTGAATCCAGGAGCCAGGAGCCACGTAGATGCAGGGGCCCAAGTACCTTTGCCATCTTCTGCTGATTGCCTAGGTACATTAGCAGGGAGCTGGAAGTAGAGTAGCCAGGACTCGAACTAGCACCTATATGGGATGCCAGCATTGCAGGCAGTGTGACTTTACCTGCTACACTGTGCAGGCTTCTGGATTGCAGTTTTTAAAATAGATTTATTTATTTGAAAGGAAGAGTGTTAGAGTTAGAGACAGAGCTCTTCCATATGCTGATTTACTCCCTAAATGTCCATTATAGCTAGGCCTGAGCCAGGCTAAACACAGGAGCCAGGAACTCCATCTGGGTCTTTCAAATGGACGGTAGGGGCCAAAATCTTGAGCCATCTTCTGCTGTCTTCCCAGGTGCATTAGCAGGAAGCAAAATCAGAAATGAAGTAGTTGGGTCTCAAACCAGCACTTTAATATGGGATGTCGGCATTGTAAGTGGCTGCCTATACCAGCCCCCATTTTTATTTTTTGAAGAATAGGTCCAATTTGTGTCAGCTGTCCAAGTTTTGTGTGTAGAATTGTTGTCTGTATTCCCTTATTCACCTTTTGATAGCTGTGAGATCTGTAGTAAAATCTCCAATATTATTCCTAATACTGATAATTTTATCTTTGCTCCTTTTATGTTTGTTATACTTAATAAAAGTTTATAAATTTTATTGACCTTTTCCAGCAACCAGCTCTTGGTTTGCTGAGTTAGTCTATTTTTTTTTTTTATGTTTTCAATTTTAGTGATTTCTGCTCTGGTCTTTATTAATTCTGTGCTTCTGCTTGCTTTAGGTTTATTTTGTTTTTGTTCTTGAGATAAGAGCTCAGATGATTGACCTGAGACTTAGTATCTGTTTGAATGTGTGTGTGTGTAGTGTTGTAGTGTGCTCTTGGTACTGCTTTGTGTTCCAAAAATTTTGGTAATCTGCATTTTCATTTCAGTTCAGTTTTCATGTAATTTTTGATTTCCCGGAGGGTTCCTCTTTAACCTTTGGATTATTTAGATGCGTTTTTTGTTTCCACCTCTTTGGAGATTGTCCTGTTAGTGATTTCTGGTGGGATTCTGCCATATTCAGAGAGCCTACTCTGTATAATTCAGTCCTTGGACCTTGTTGAGTGTGGTCAGTGGCCCGGATAGGCTCTTTCTTGGCATGTATCGCATGGTGATGTGGACAGTGTGTGTTCTATATGTTCTTGACTAAATCTTGTTGGTATATTTTGAATATTGTATTCGATCCTGATGGTTCTGATTAATAGCAATTGTTGAAAAAGTGGTGTTGAAGTCTCCTGTAATGGTGAATTTATCCATTTATCTTTTCAGTTCTATTAGTTTTTGCTTCTCATATTTTCACCTTTGTTATTGCTGATGCATGTTTAGGGTTGTTGTCTCATCCCATGAGACCGCTTCATCCTGTAAGGTCCCTCTCTGACTTTGGTACTTTTCTTTTTTCTGATATTTTCTGTTTCTGATGTTAGTGTGGCAATTCCTCCTTTGCATTGATCGATGTTTTTATAGTATATGTTTTTCCATTTGGTTACTTTCAAACTGCCTAAATTGATATCCTGGAGGTGAGTTTCCTGTAGATATATGGTTGTGGTTTTTAATCCCCCCTGCACATGTCTGTCTTTCAACTGATACTTATTTACACCTTTCATATTTAATCTAATTATTGATGGTCTTGAATTTACATCTCTCACTTTTAATCTTGCTTGTAGTTTACTCATTTTATAATTCCATTTTGACTTTTCTGCAGTGATTGGGAGTGTCTCCCTGTAGAGCCATTTCGTGGTTGCACTGAGTATTCCACTATAAACTGAGACCACACACACTGCACGTGTTACTGTTTTTCTAATTTTAATGATACGTGAACATGTTGCCTTCCTTTGTTTCTTACCCTCCATCATTTACAGTGTAGTGACTTTAAATGATTCTTCTAACTTCATTTGGAACCATATCAGACAGTTGTGCTTCAGTTTTCAAAAATAGTTAAGAAAGCTTAAGAGGGGAGGGAAAACTTAGTGTCTTTCCCCATATTTTGGCTTGTTTTTTTCTTGCTATGTTCATAGCATTGTAAGTGTCTCTTTTCTTTCTGTTTCTGTTTATAGATGTTCATTTTGTCAGTGTTTTAGTGTAGGCTTTCTGGTGGTTTTCCTGCATCTGAGAATATCTTGATTTCTGTTTTATTCCTGAGGACCTTTGCTGGATGTAGGACTTTGAGTGCACAACCTTTTTTCCATCCCACTAAAATACTGCGCCCCTCCTCTGGCTTCCGTCGTCTCCGCTGAGGAATAGACCGAAATTGCAGGAGTTTGCTTCCTGTGCGGGATGTGGTTGTCTCAGGATGCTTTTGGCATTTGTTTCTCAATTTTAATTTTCTGAAGATTGATTATGATTTAAGTTGTTTTTAATTTCTCTGAGTTTATCTTGTTTGGGGTTTGTGAGTTTAGATCTCTTGCCAAATTGAGGAAGTATTCAGTATTATTTCTTCAGTTAATGTTTTTTAGCTTATCCCTTCTGCATTCTTTTATGGTCCCTAATGATACAAATGTTTGATATTTTATAATCTCACAGTGAGAGATTTCTTTGTTAACCAAATTGGAAAATTTCTTTTTCTTTTACAGTCAGTTTGTTCTTTTCTTGGTCACCTTCATTCTGCAGTTTAGCTTATCCATTGTTTTTTAACTTTAATTATTATTTCTTGAACTTCTAAAATTTCTATCCATTTCTTCTTTAATAGATTGACTTTCTATTTTATTTTTTCATGTGTTAACGTATACTGCCCTTTGTTTTTGTCAACACTGCATAAAATTCTTGCTAGGCTGTTCTGTTGTCATTATCTTGGTGTTGATTGTTGTTGGTTGTCTTCACTAAGTCTGAGATCATTTTGGTTTTTGGTGTAATAGATGATTTTTTATTAAAATGTGGATGTGTTTGTATCATGCTCTGAGACTTGAATCCTGTCTAACAGCTTTGTCTGACCCTGCTCTGACAGGGGAAGGGAGGCACCATCTTGTTGTGGCTGGGTGAGGGGCAGTTCCTGACTGCCTGCTTGGCCCATCTGCTGACTGTGTGAGAGTGAACGTCCAGTTCCCTGTGTGGCCCCTACTGAAAGTTGAGGTAGGCTGTTGGTGAAAAGCCTTACCTTCCTCTGTTCTTTTTTGGGTACCTTCTCCCGATGGGGGAGGTGTTTTGCTACTGACCGATGGAGGTGGGAGTACAGACTTCTCCTTACATGGTCTCCTCTAGTGCTGTGGTCCCTTGTAGCCACCTCGTGGGATTCTAAGTCATGACTGTTCTTGGCCTTCTGTAACACAGCTCTGGTGTTGGTGCCTCTTTTCTGCCCCAAAAGAGTGGAAATCCAGGCTTCTTACTTAACTTTAATCAGTATGGTGAGAGATGGGACCATAGTGTTTTTTTTCCTTAATATGTATTTATTTGAAAAAGTTATCGAGTAGGGGATATATATATATATATATATAGAGAGAGAGAGAGAGAGAGAGAGAGAGAGAGAGATTGAGAGATATTGAGATATCTTCTATCTACTGGCTCACTCTTGAGGTGGCCACAATGGCCAGGGCTGGGCCAGGCCAAACCCGTGATCCAGGAGCTTCATCAGAGTATCCTCCATGGTTGGTAGAGACCTAAGCACTTGGGTCATCTTCCATTGCGCTCACAGGCCATTAGCAAGGAGCTAGTTCCCGAGTGGAGCAGCCCCGACTACAACTGGTGTCCATATGGGATGCTGGCATCACAGGCAGTGCTTTGCCAGCTACTCCATAATGCCAGCCTCAAGGGACGTAGTGTTCCCCGTGAACTTTGGAGTCGATGGCAGTTAGCTGATGAAAGTTTCATTCTCACTAGGCAGCCCCCTTTGTTGTTAACTCTGTGGGGCCTGAATCCATGGTTATCTCTAGCTCATGGGCTGCTACTGCTGCATGTCTGGGATATGTGAGGCAAAAACACAACCCAGGGAACTCGTCTCCTCGTCTCCATACTGTCTCTTGGCTCCCCTCCCGTGGTCCCTTGCCTCCATTGTTCATGCTGTTCTTAGGTTTATCTTAAACACAATGCCTAGTTGTACCAAATAGGGAAAGTGCACCTGCTCCCTATTTCTGGAGGCAGAGGTCACCTCCATCACCTTGACCGGTTTACACCGTGTCCACCCATGGGGCCTCCTCTCTGTGCAGGTACCTGGAACTGGAAAGCAGTGGCCATCGGAATGAGGTCCGGCTTCACTACCGCTCGGGCAGTCAGCGCCCTCACACAGAAGTGTTTCCTTACATGCTGGCTGACGACAAGTGGCACAAGCTCTCCTTGGCCATCAGTGCCTCCCATTTGGTTTTGCACGTGGACTGCAATAAGTAAGTGAGATGTTGTCATTCTTGGGAAGTGGGGATTCTGAGGAATGCTTGTCTGCTCACGTTCCTGCTCTGATGTTTCTTTCTTAAAGAATTTATGAGAGAGTGGTGGAAAAGCCCTCCACAGACCTGCCTGTGGGCACGACATTTTGGCTGGGACAACGAAATAACGCACATGGATATTTCAAGGTACCTTTTGTCTAAAGTGTGAGCATAAAGTATAAATGCAAATGCTTTCTGATGAGTTTAGCAAAGTGCAGTTCATGCTTTAATGTGTGAAACAAAATAACTTAGTTTGCATAGATTTTTATCAGTGTCTACTTCTGTTTGTTTCACACTTGTGTTTTTTACACCAATACTTTATTTAGCTGACAATGAGTGTGGTCTTTGGACACTGTGGAGATGACCACAGGGCTGCAGTCAGGACGGCCTTCCCGTTCTCCTGTAGGTCTTTTCTCCCTTTGCTTCACACACACCAGCCTGCCCAGGAAGTGAAGTGACTGCTCAGGGCCAGGCTGCGAGTCGTGGGCACACGTGGGCTCTGAGTCCGTGTTTGTGAATCCTCCACACGGATGCTCTTGTCTGTCTTCAGTGTGGGCAGGCATGAGCTGTGAGTGCCCACCCTGCCTCCATGATCGTGACAAGTCAGAACCCTCACACACCTTGGGGTGTGTGTGTGTGTGTACACCACTCCAGGGGCTCGCATTTTTACTGTGGTCTGTGAATGGCATCCCAATGTGCAGTGCACACACTATATCATGTCCATGGTAGTCTTGTCTTCCTGTGATAGGAGTTAATGCACGTGGTGGCTCCTCAGACAACACCCAGGGACACAGCAGCGCCCATGATGGCCACAGGGTGTCTGATCAGGTTACATGACTGGGGGTACACAGACCATAGTCCACATAGGTACTCACAGTTGACTGTCACCTGTGAGTGCTGTCACCCCTTCAGCCATTCTCTTTGCCTTTTTCTAAAGGATATAGTGAAATTTCAGTGGAAGAAAATAAATGATGTTGGGAAAGGAAGAGAGGGTGGTGGCTGCACGGGCTGGTGGGAGTGTGTGTGATGAGCCTGTCTCTGGGCTCTGTGTGGTCCTTCGTGGCTGAGGACACCAGGTGACATGTTGTCTGTTTAGGACGGGTGGTATCCACTGGCCTTGGAGAGAGGTGCGGGCTGGGCTGCCTGTGCCTCCCATGCTCGTGGCGTGGTTTTGCTGCAGCCGTTCGGGAGACTGTCGTCCTTTGCAGTGGAGAAGAGAGCTTCCAGAGCCCCCGCTGAGAAACAAGACGTACTCGGATGAGGGCTGTCTTCATGACTCGCTTTCTCTTTCTCTGTCCCCTGCTTTCTCATGGTTACGGTGCATTTGGAATTGGGGTCAGTTTCTGCATTGCTGAAGGCAGAAGGGGTTTCCAGGTTGGGCTTTCGAGGTTCTTGTAAAGGGCTCCTCGAGCCCCCCTTCAGTGGATAACAAGAAATAACTCTCGGAAGGACATGGCCAGTTACAATGACTAACTACATCTTCACATTGAACCTGGAGGGAGGCTGCGTGGGTGGTCTCTTGTTTGGCCTCGGTGTGGAGTGGAGGCAGTATATTCAGAAAGACTTTATTCAGGGATTTGGAAGAGTCTCTTCTGTAATGTTTTTCTTCATGAACTTGGCTATTTTATGTAATCTGAGTGAATGAAAGTAATATGTGTTTTAAAAATTTTTCATTTACAGGGTATAATGCAGGATGTGCAATTAGTTGTCATGCCCCAAGGATTTATTGCTCAGTGTCCAGATCTAAATCGCAGTAAGTTTATTAGTTCATGTACTGTGTGATGTGATGAAAAGTTTCCTTCTTGCTTAATTTTGTACAGGATGTCAGTTTAAAAATAGAGTTCCATTATATTGGTTGCCAACATAGACTTAGCTAGATTGAACCTTTTATAAATATACCTTGACAATGTCCTGTTTGTAATTCCAGCATGTCCAACTTGCAATGACTTCCATGGACTTGTGCAGAAAATTATGGAGCTGCAGGATATTTTAGCCAAAACATCAGCCAAGGTAAAGCAACTCAGGAATACAGTGAGGTCACTTAGAAATCCTGCGGGCTCTTAGCGGTTCCCGTTATAACTACACATTTCCACCTTGGAGACTTCTCTTGTACTGCACCACTTTCTAGAACTGATTCTCAATTCCTGCCCAGGCAATGGCCTTATAAATATTCAAACTCCCACCATCTGTCCAATAAATGGTTCAGTAACTCAGCAATGAGGCAGGCTACCTGGCTCATACACTGCCACTATGGCGAGATTTGCTGTTGTATTATTATTTATGATTACAGATTGTTACTGTTGTATACTTGTCATTAGCTTTTCCTTGCCAGCCAGGAGGGGCAGGGGAGTGAAGAGAATCCTGGCACTAGTTTCAGGTCCTGGAGTTGGTCGTGTGCATGCTTCCTACAGCGGGTTACGTTCTGTCATTCGCTGGTGTCTCAGCACACACAAGCACAGTCGGGTCACTGTGTCCTGGTCACCGGTGACCTGACCCACCTGCAGTCATGTTGCACAGCTACAATTTCTTTTTTACGCGATACTTACATTCTAAATTTTTTTCACTTGATTACACACATTAGCAAGATTAAACCTTTACAAAGCTGGAGCCTGTGTCTCTGCATTGTGGGTGATGCTGATTGGGTTCAGCCTCCAAAGCCCTTTGGTCTCAAAGGCAGGGAGCAGATTCATTGCACACCAACACACGGAGGAAAGTTCTTTCTGTCTGGCAGAAGGCTCACATGCATGTCTTAACACAGCCGCCCATGTTGTGAACCTGTTAACTCTGTGGTGCCTTCTAGGGGTGGGGTCTATTTTTTTGTGGTTCTGGCACCATGAGCAGTGACCACTTCCTCTCTGCCCCAGCTGTCCCGAGCCGAGCAGCGGATGAACAGACTAGACCAGTGCTACTGTGAGAGGACCTGCACCGCAAAGGGAGCCACCTACCGAGACCTGGAGTCCTGGACAGACGGCTGTAACAACTGCACGTGCCTGGTAGGGGCTCTGTTTGGTTTCACTCTCAGTGACACACATGCCACACTCTTTTAAAAATGGATAAAAACAATGCAATCACAAACATTTCAGATCCATTTCTTCAACACACAGCACTCAACAACCAGAAAATCTGGTCACATCTAGGAGCTGAGTGCTGCCTCATTAACTACACTTTTGGCCTATAGAAGGAGTATGGCTTAGGAATGCTATAAAGGTTAGCTTTATTGGCACATCCATGAGGTTGCAATTTAAATGTGGTTGGGAAGGTGATCCCCACAGGTCCTCTCCTGTTACGCTTAACATACCCGAGGGTTTCCCTTCATGTTTTTATTAATGTGTGCCGACAAAGGTGAATTCTACATAGTGGTAAATACTATGTCAAGACTGACTGATCGACAAATAATAGAGCTTAAATAAGATAGTAGTGAGGAACTTACTAATGCAGTAGAATACTTATCACAGTGTTTAAGCAAATATTATTTGCTCACTGATTAAGTAGATTATTTTGTGTTACTGTTTCAGAAATGTATGTTACTTTTCAGAGAAAAGATCAAAGCGAGTGTAGTTTTGACTCTTACATGCCATGTGCACAGCAGCCGCCCGAGATGGTATTCTGGAAAGGAGTCAGAGATCTTTGTGCATCAGCCTTCAACACGTTGTCCCAAGTGCATCCACTGCTCTGAAACCCATAGTACCGTGCACATGCAAGGATCACAGCGGTGGGGAATCAGCGCGTGTGGACTCTGGTCTTTATGTATGCACACCTATGCTCCTGCCCACATTGCAGCCCTAACAGTGTGGCCTTCCCATGCTTGCAGCATGGTGACCAGAAACAGAATTAAGTAGGCAGCCAGCTGCCTTGCAGGGAGGTCAGTGAGATGAGGCAGACACCTGAGCAGCAGTAGGGTCGGGTTCCTGGTATCACCGCTGGCCGTGGCGTGGCTTCTCCTCGGTGGGTTGTGAGCATGGCGTCCCCTGGAGTGGTGACCTGCCCTTGCTTGCTCAGATGTGCTGGGGATTCTGGGTCCTGGGTGGGGCTTCCCGGAAGGCAGCTGCTAGAAACCCCGGGCTGCGGGGGCTTGTTTTGTGAGTGCTCTGAGCATCGCCACTATTCCCCATTGAGGTCGTGCCCTTCCCTTCCACTTGCCGGGAGATGGGGGCTTTTGCTCTCTGGGGCAGTTGCTGGACAGAGGAGGAGCCCCTCCTGCTGCTGGAGTCCAGGGTATTTTCCTGTGGGTGTCCATGCTGTGGGCTTCCTGGGTAGCAACTGAAGATAGCAGTGGGCTTCGTGACATTGTTTGGACAGAGTTTGAAAGTTAAGAAAACATTCCAAAGTCAACTGGGTGCTGAACTCCAACTTGGGAATTCCTTAAGTCCTGTTTTTTTTTTTTCTTTTTAGAATGGAACTGTCCAGTGTGAAACCCTGGCCTGCCCGGTGCCTGAGTGCCCGCTGAAGTCAGCTCCGGCGTACGTGGACGGCAGGTGCTGTAAGGAGTGCAAATGTGAGCACAGCTTCTGTGAGGCACACTTTTTCTTGCTCTAATAAAGCTTCCCTTAGTAAATGCTCACCTAAGGTTGGTGGAATGTGCACAGGCTACACAGCTTCCAGAACTGGTGGAGAGGATGACCACCAGCTCTGTGCTGGCTGACTCCGTTTTGACTGCTGCTCTTCTGCTACAGTAGAGGGATCTGCTGTGTACCGTGATGCAGCCGGAGAGGTGCATGGGGCTTTCACTCAGGCACCGCTCCATGCAGGCAGCTCCCGGAGAGGTCAGGATCATCCAGGAAATCTGAGATAGAGTGCCTTTCACTGGCAGGCGATTGCTCCCTTAGCCCCAGAGGAGAGGCCACGATGTTCCAGAATCAGTTGGTGGAGACACAAGGAGGCTCACCCCGCTGCCTATGGCACCTGTCCCCAGTTGGTGGCATGCAGCTCACCTCGGTCACCTGTGCCTCTCCACAGAGGGGTTCTGGGTCACCCATTACAAACAAATCCTTTCACCTATGCTGCTAATCTCTTAACAGATTTGACTTAATTCCTTGTGAAAAGCAGTTATTTAGTAGCTAGTAGCTACTTTTGTACAAAGAAGTAGTGAGGCATATGAACAGTGTTCTTCAAATGCTTGCGGAATACAGAGCTGTGGTCATATGGATATGCGGGGTCTCCCGAGAGTTCATGGGAAGTGTTTATGATCAAAAATATGCACAAACTTTTAAAAAAAATTGTACCAGCAAACCTTGTTCTTTAATTACGCTTTTCCATGAACTTTGTGAAGCACCGTTGTGTGCTCACGATAATGGTGTAAAGAGACAGAGGATTGGGGTGGTTGGGGAGCAGAGGGCAGGAGGGAGAGATGGGGATGGAGGGAGGCCGAGAGGTGGGTATGAGAGGGTGAGATGGGGGGGGAGAGTTGGGGATGCAGAGGGAGAGAGAATTGGTGTCCCCTCCCTGGCGTTTTTGTGTGAGCCCCATTCCTTTACCATTGGATTCCGTGCTGTGCGTGGTGCTGCTGCTGTCATCAGACAGGGATCAGGAGGCCCCTTGCACGGGGCATTGATCGGGTTCCCTCAGGAGCTCACGCGGCCTAATTCGTGAGTTGCTGCATGGAAGCCGGTGCACCTTATGAGAGTGTGTTAGCCTTGCCGGGCGGGTTGGGCAGGACCAGAAGGAGGGAATGCCGCGGTCCTATGGCTGCCGCCAGCCGTTCCCCTTGCTGAGGAGTGGGTGGGGCCTCCCATGGACTTCACTTAGTAAGTGCAAGCTTGTGGGGATGGTCTGTGGTTCTGTGGGTATTTGGAGGAGCAAGAGAAGGGCATAAGATACAGGCAGGGCTTTATGGTCACAACACTAGGGAGGCACCCCCTGTGTTAGCTGTGAATACGGTAGATGAGCACTGGACGATACCAGCTGTGTTAGACACAGGGTGGCTGAAGCGATGGATGCTCCTGATGGCGCAGTAGATGCAAGTGGTGCGTTTTCAGTTCTGATGACTGCACTGTCCGCTCAGACCCCCACTGGTAATCTTCGCGGAGTGTTGATGGCAGACTGTGGCACTGAGGATGAGAAACCAACCGGGTTTACCTCGGAGTTAAACAGTTAAAGTTAGGTGTATGAAATCTGGGTGAACCACAGCATCAGCCAACAAATCCCAGAAAGTGAGTCCAAGTCTCATTTCATCTGGATAGAGATGGCGGGACGGGGTGACTGGGCGTCCCTAGTGCCTGCTGGCCTGGTAATGTGATGGCCACTCGGACTGAGCTGGTGCTTCTGCCCACGGGAGGTGTATCGGTGGGCCTCATCTGATCTCCTCAACCCTTCTCTAAGTAGAGCCTTTGTGTGACCTGCCCAGGGGAATACTGTGCACCCCAGTGTACCCCAGGTCCCACAGGGGCTCCTGCTGAGTGTCCTGTGCTGCGTTCATCCCCGTGACCCCACAGTGGCCTCTGTCCTTGCAGCAAAGCCCACCAGAGGCACCTGGAGACAGCCAGCCAGCAGCACACCACCCCTGGTGGCTCTTCTGTGCACTTCCAGCTTCCAATCCTGTCATTTACTTTTGTCTCAGGTGCTCTGCGAACAGCCAAAGCACAGATTCAAGACACATCTAGAAAACCAACTGCAGACATCCTAGGTGACTGTCGCCCTGATGTAGAATGGGCTCAAGGAGTTAGAGCAAGTCTCAGCCCAAGTTAGAAGGCAACAAAGAATTGTCAGAAAATAATTAACTGATGCCTCGGAAGTTGTTAATGACAGTCACTGAGGTTGGAAACGATTTTCAAGTGTTAAGTCCTCATTTATTTTCTTTTGCTAGATTGTAGATTTGGGGTTGTACACAGGGCTGCACCTCACACCCGAGTCTTCAGCAGTTCTGCCCTGATGTCCTGATGCCCTTTGTGAAAAATGTTCGGGCATAATGGGTTAGGCCACTGCCTGTGATGCTAACATTCCATATGGGTTCCCATTGGAGGCTCAGCTGTTTCACTTCGGATCCAGCTTCCTGCTAATGTACCTGGGATGGCAGTGGAAGGTGACCTGAGTTCTTGGACCCCTGCCGTCCATGTAGAGGACCTGTGTGGAGTTCCAGGCTCCTGGTTTCAGCTTGGTTTAACCCTAGCCATTGCAGTCATTTGGGGAGTAAAGCAGCAGATGGAATATCTTTCTTTATGTTTCTCACTCTCTATTTGTAATTGTGCCTTTCAAATTTTTTTAAATGGCAAATTAAATTACTAGAGAGACGACAAGTGCAAGACAGGTGGGTGTGACACAGGACTGACTGGAGCCAGCCCAGCAGCAGTAGCGTTAGTGGTATTTTCTCAGGGAAGCCCGGTTCACGTGGTGAAGTTGATATTGCCCATCTTCTGATTATACAGCATCAGAGTTTCAGTAGATGACACCAGCGATATTTTGTTAAGCTCTGTGTTGATGGGACATCAGGTCACTTTAAGCTTAGGTTAAAAAGCCCTTTCGGTATAGATGAAATGGGCTTACCCTCGTGTCTGGGGGTCGGGATTGGGCAGCACAGGTTCCTACCTGTGCCACCTTGTTCCTCACAGCCTCAGCTCCGTCATCTGCACCAGTCACATTGACTCTGCAGGGCTTGTATGAGGACTGAATAAGTAACAGATGTGAAGAGCTTAGAAAGATACTACTCCCGTTACTGCTCTTATTCACAGAGCTGTTCATGTTTCCATCGGTAAACAATGCCAGAGCTCTCTGGGGCCTCAGAACACCCTTTGCTGTGGGTGAGGTCAGGTTTTATGGCCCCTGTGTGGAAAGGACTCAAGGGAGGGGCTTTGTGAAGGTCTGACAGCTTGTCTCTGTCGGGCAGCTCAGAGTGCCCATACCGTCCTCCCCCTTGCGGTTGTAGGCACCTCTCAGTCCTGGTTGACCGTCGGAGCCAGTGTCCTGTCCATCAGGTCTTTTTGTGTAGGTCTGGTTTCCCTCACTCAGTCTTTCTGAGATCTGTGGGTGTTTGATTCAGGTCAGCCATGTGGAGGAAGGCCAGTCTGCTGCCGTGTGTCATGTGTAAACACGTGGATGTGGGTCACTTTGTACATGTGGATGAAGACACTCGCCCTCACGGCTGTTTGTCTCTCATGTGTAAACACGTGGATGCAGGTCACTCACCCAGTGCTGTGTGTGTCTCATATGTAAAGGCGTGTACTCAGCTCACTGTCATGGCTGTGTGTCTTGTGTAAACACGTGGATGCAGGTTACTCGGTGCTGTGTGTGTCTTGTCTAAAGGTGTGTACTCAGCTCACTGTCATGGCTGTGTGTGTCTCATGTAAACACGTGGATGCAGGTTACTCAATGCTGTGTGTGTCTCGTGTAAAGGCGTGTACTCAGCTCACTGTCATGGCTGTGTGTGTCTCATTTGAGTTCTGGCGCCTCATCAGCCTGTTGGTGAAGGGCAGTTTGGGCTGTAAACATACCCTTGTGGAAACCCTCTTTACACCATCTTGACCTTGAGTGTACCTGTGTTTCTGGTAGTTGTAGACCTAAGGGTGGACATGTTTGTCCTCTAGGCAAAGCTCTGGAAATCCATTGCCAAACTGTTTGGCCAGTTCTCCCTGGCATGCCACTGGTTTCTTCTTCTCCCTAGTGATGCATGGGAATGCCAGCTGCTCCTGGCTTTCACTGATGCTGGGGTTTTGGGCCGTTGTAATCGTAGCCGTCCCGATAAATGATATTGGCACCTGATCATGTGCCATTGCTGATGAGCAGCTTCCGTACGTTCGTGGACTGCTTTCATTGACTTCCAGCAGTCGGCGTACGTAGAGAGGTTTCTTTTTTGCAAGTGGTGGTCGTTTGGGTGTTTCTAAGTTTTCTATTTGTGCATTTTGTTTGCACACCAAACTGAATGATTCTGGCTGTGTTACTCAAAATGCATTGCAAAGTAGGAGTGGAGATTAAATTACTGCCTGTCAAATATTTCGGCATTTATAAAAGGAGATGGTAATCTAATAAGGCCGATTCAGAGACTTTGGAGCAAAACTCTATGGACTGTAATTCACCAGGATTCTCTTTGTTCTGAGAAAGGGGCAGGGTGTAGTTTATTTAGGCTATGGTGCAAAGGAGCCAGCAGACGCAGCTGTCTGTGGAGTGGTGCTGGGAGCCAGGGATGTGTGCGGAGCTCGCTTGTGCACGACTGTCATGTGGTTGGCCTCACAGGGACACACGCGCTGCCTGGCCTCACAGGGACACACGCGCTGCCTGGCCTCACAGGGACACACGCGCTGCCTGGCCTCACAGGGACACACGCGCTGCCTGGCCAGTGCTGATCCCGAGCAATCGTGAAAAGGTAGAAATAGCAACCAAAAGATGGGGTATTGTTCTGCATGTGCTGTGCCACGTTTTTAGAATATTTCTGCAAGTATGTGTTCAGTAATGAATTATCACATCCCAGCAAACAATGGAACGAAGTGAAGCCGGCGTTGTCTCTTTAAATCCTGTGTTCAGCCTCAGTCTGGATTCAGTCTTTTCTCACTAAAATTACTTAAATTC